CAGCATAGTGAATAGGCGCGGGTAAGCACAAAATCTCAAATCGTGTTTTTGCCCGGGCACTGCCTTTAAAGTATATATTCTAAATCAACGATCGATACTACAAAGGAGAAAAGTGCGGAATGAAGAAAGATATAAAGTCAGCAAAGCAGAAACTCCTCAAAAGAAGTCATTGATCCCTACCACCGATATATACATGAAAGGGCATGCGCATGGGCGTCATGAAGAAAAATACACAAATACAGGCTATGGTGACTCAGCTGCCGTTGCAGGAGGATGCGTGGTGGTTCTGCTAGCAAGACGAGAATCCGACCTAGACAGGGCTGTCAGGCGAATTCCACGACGGCCCCCAAAAGTTTCAAACACGGGTGACCTGAAAAGGGCACGATAAACTTCACAAATGTAAAGGAAACAAAAGTGAAAAAAAGGTAAGTAAGCGAACAACCCCTGGTCAGGCGATTTGGAAAAAAAAGTTAAACCGAATTTCAACCATATGATTACATATTTATGCAGAAATGGTAATGCAATTGCGCGCAGCAAGGATAACGATGGAAATAAGAGTTACCATAAACGTTCGAAAATGTGCAGAGCCATGACCGGCTGGATCCATTCAAAACCTGCGAGAGAAGTTCCCAAAAAGAATTAAAAAACAACTCACGAAGGCGGCTGCTCATGCGTCTCAAGTGCGCCGGCAGGATCAGGAAACCCATCCTCTTCGTCGACAAGCGCTTTCTCAAGAATCACACGAGCCTCTTTGTAGCGCTGAGACTCTTCCATAGCGAACTCATACATCCAACCAACTTTCTTCTGAAAAAAAAAACATAAAATGAAAACTAAAATGCTGTTAGATTACATAAAACTACTCACATGACAAATTCTGCACATAACATCGCGAACGATATGCTTGCCAGTCATCATGTCTCTATGCTGTGCTTCTGAGTAGTCAAGATTCCAAGCGCGATGGAACAACATTGCCCGACCGGATGATCCTAGAAAAAATGACAGATCTGAGAACTTAAGCCGATGTAATAATAAGCTTCGTCAAAGTTGCCTCGCCGAAACGAAAAAAGCGATGCCGTCCCAAAAAAATAGCACATTTTTCGGCTGATATCGATCAGATGAACGCAAACTCGACAGAGTTTATCGTTTCGAGCGAGAATTTTAGAGAATAATAACCTCCAAAACCAAGATTTCCGTCCTTATGTACTTCCTTTGGCAAAAGCTATGGAGTTCCACGCTTAGCAATGGAAAAATGTCCATCAACGCTCCACAGAGATTATGAAGAAGCGAGTTTTCACGACTCCAAGAGAGACATTCAGATGTTGATAAAAAGTTTGAGCTAACACTTAAAGACGGTGTAAAAGCTCCAAATTCACATTTATTTGGCACCTGCCATACTTGATCCGCTTCGTCATTGATCGATTCACTGAGCCGACCAATCGCGAAGCGGTTGTCCGCTTGATCCGCTTCA